TAGAGTCTCATTTTGTTACCCTCAGTAGAGTGCTGTGGCATCACAGTTCACAGCAACCTCAAACCCTTGGGCTCAAGTGATTCTCTTGCCTCAGCCTCCAGAGGAGGTTGGGACTACAGGTGCCCCCACAATGTCAGGTTATTTTAGAGACAAGTTCTCACTCTTACTCAGGCTATCTACCTGCCTCAGCCTCTCAGAGTGCTGGATTTACAGGTGTTGAACCACCACACCTGGCCTCAGGATGCTTTAATATTTAATCACTATAAGCTATTTTATTAAGGTGAACAATGTCACTGCTTAACAACTGTTAACAAGTAAAAAGACATAATTTGTAGGAGAATAGGTTGTTCTTTGTGCCGAAACTCTCTTGCTTTCCCTCAGTCTCTAAAGCACCTCTGGGTGGGCTTTACAACCCGCTTGACAGGAGAAAGGGGGATGACCTATGAGCAGTAGCTCTGAAGAAAGGCATAGTGGGTTTTTACATAAATTATTTCATTATAAAGAAAAAGATGTAACACTCCTAGAAGCATTAGGAACACTCTGGAAAAGGAAAGTGGGTCAAAATTTCTCCAGATCATGCTCCCAAAGTTAAACCTGAATCTGAAAATCCCACCTTCCCTGGCACAGAGCATCTGGGCTGCTAGGCCTACTCTACAGCTGCCACCACATGGGCCTGTGGGAACTGGAGGCAGAGAAGGACCAGCACTTGGTGGTGTGAGGCACGGCAGGCCATGCCCAGCTTCTTTCCCACTTTACTGGCATGAAAAGGAGCAGTGGGGAGGGATGCTCTTCCACATGACATCTCTCATCAGAGTGAGCAGATTGGGTTTGGCCCCTGATTTTAACTAGATGTTAGTAGGCATTTTAAATACAACTATGGGATTTAAGAATGTTCTTAAAATTAGATAATACCAATACATTATTAATTTTGTCTAAGATTATGTATGTGGGGTCAAGTCCGAAACTGTCCTTATGTTTCTGAGATACATGCAGAAACTTTTTTTTGAGGCAGAGTCTCACTTTGTCGCCCTCAGTAAAGCCTGTGGTGTCACAGCTCACAGCAACCTCCAACTCTTGGACTCAAACAATTCTTTTGCCTCAGCCTCCCAAAGTAGCTGGGACATAGGTGCTCGCCACAATGCCCAGCTATTTTTTTTAAGAGACAAGGTCTCACTCTAGCTCAGGTTGATCTGGAACCTGTGAGCTCAGGCAATCTACCTGCCTTGGCCTCCTAGAGTGTTGGGATTACAGGTGTGAGCCACTGCGCCTGGCGACAGATGCAGAAATTCTGAGGAAAAAGCATACCTGTGTGAGGGGGTCTTCCCCACATCATGGCAACTGTTGCATAGAGAGAAGGTGGCACACATGGAGGTGACCAAGTGTCGCAGCACTGAACCTGGGTGACACGGGCTTCTTATGCTCCTTTTCTGCTTTTGTGCATTTTGCAAACTTTCTAAATAAAAAACTAAAAATCATCTCCAGAAAGTGAGATTCCATTTACAAAAAACAAAACCAACAAAACCCATTTTATAGGAGGCTCAAATTGATAAGAAGAAAATTTATCCAGAATTTCCAACATCAGAGGGTGATGGGGAGGGGACTCTACATCTTAGCACTGCACTGGCTACACCAGTGAGTGGCCACCCCTGCCCAGAGGCTGTGTTGGCTCAAAGCCACCCAAACGTGACCTGCTGAGCAGACACTAGTATTGATTCCCTTAAGAGAAAAACGCCAACTATGTCAGCTCACAGTGTCAACAAGGACATTGCTCAGGCAGTACCAAGATAGGGCCAGGCAGCACCTGTCAAGGGCACCCTCTGCCCTGTACCCTCAGGGACAGGCACCTCCTGTCAGGGCACCCTCTGCCCCGTACCCTCAGGGACAGGCACCTCCTGTCAGGGCACCCTCTGCCCCGTACCCTCAGGGACAGGCACCTCCTGTCAGGGGCACCCTCTGCCCTGTACCCTTAGGGACAGGCACCTCCTGTCAAGGACACCCTCTGCCCTGTACCCTTAGGGACAGGTACCTCCTGTCAGGGCACCCTCTGCCCCTCTGCGCAGTGTCCTCACCTCTGTAGATGCTGGTCAGCCAACATGGAATGCTGTACCTCTCTGGCCTCAAAAGTATTAAGAAGGCAGGTGTGAGAAGGGGATAGAATAAACACAGCTGAACATGCTGCTGGACCAGCTGCACAGACCAGTAAAGTGAAGCTGCAGATTAGGTTTAACAAAGCTACGAAATGAGAAATTACTGGGTAGATTTGGCCACAACCCCTGCTGGCATCCAATTAGCACTAATAAGAAAAGAAAGACCAACACTTGCCAGGCGGCCTTAACAGCCCTAAAGACACCGGAGCCACATGGCCTCTGTAAACACGGGGTTCCATCCAGGGGGAAGAGGCCTGACCTGGGACATTTTAGGAAGAAAATGAAACTTTAAATGTGGTATTGCACTACTAGATGAGAAAGGGTAAAAACAAAATCCCCAGATCCAATCTGTGGACTTGACCAGTTCAGCAAGGCCATCCAGGGCTGCCTGAGCCTGGCACTTGGGGGGTGCTGGGCTACATGGCTGTGGTTTCTCCCTTGACACCCATGGCTGGAGCCATCCAGTCTGTACATGAGCGTCAGCCTGACCTTCAGGATGATTTAGACCAGGGAACCCCTTACAACATCCCCGGCTGGGCCCTTGATACCCGTGTGCACCAGATAGGTGGGCAGTGCCACCTCCGCCCACTTGCTCACATGACCCTCTCCATTGCCTTGAGACAGAACGATGCCCGTGGTAGGAACAGCCCATCTATTAGGAACAGCTAGTGACTGCAGACCACCTGGCATGAAAGAAAGATCACCCTGAAGATAAAAGGTAAGTTGAAGACCTTATAGGTTCTGGGGGATTCCTACTGTGCTCATCATTGTTATTATTCTTAGTTTTTTGATATAGTCTCACGCTGTTGCCTGAGCTAGAGTGGTGTGGCATCACAGCTCACAGCAACCTCAAACTCCTGGGGTCAAGTAATCCTCCTGCCTCAGCCTCCCAAGTAGCTGGGACTATAGGCACCTGCCTCAACGCCCCACTAATTTTTTTTACTTTTAGTAGAGATGGAGGCCTCACTCTTGCTTAGGCTGGTCTTGCACTCCTGAGTTCAAGTGAGCCACTGCTCTGGGCCAACCTCATTTTAATTAATAACTCCCTCTGCCAGTCAAAAGAAGACGCTCCTGAACTGGCTTATGCTGTACTGGCTTACCTGTGACTTCCAGGCTCACCTACGTGACTGGTTTACTTTTTCTGCAATCATGTATCTTTTATACCCCAATTAAAACAAACAGAAGAAAACAGTCTGAACTCACTTAAGTGCCTTTTAAATCAGCACCTCTCTAAGGTGACCATCTAAACACGCCTCAGTTTCCAGTCATCAGTGAGGTGTTGCCTTTGGCACTGGGACAGTTCCAGGGATACTCTCCTCCCCCTACACACCAGCATGCAGGAGGTGACTGTCTCTACCTGCCTGTCCTGGGGTTAGGGTTCTGAAGAGTCTCACTTGAGGCTCTGTGCCGTGCAGTGGCGAGGCAGATCACATAGGGTCTCCTTTATAATTAACTATGGGCAGCACAGCTCCTCTAAACAGCAGCATTAATAGGTGTAACACACATATTCTATTAAAGATCAATGTGAATCAGAATGGTTTAACATTCAAAATGTATAGCACCAATTTTTACTTGAATCAAAGCACATGCCAAAAATAAAGCTATAAAGACCAATTTATCAATCCTCTGGAGAACTAGCTGGAAATACTCATCTATTTAAAACTGGATGCATAGCTTTTAACATCATTCCAAGTGAAAGCTTTAATTCTTTGACATTCAAAAAAGTATAATTATCAGGGAAATTAAAAAAAGGAATATCTAATCATGAACTTAAAAATCACCTTCTATGTCTAAACCAAATGATTCTGAACTCTAATCTACAATGAGTGGGTGAGAGGGTGGCCTTGGAAAGGAACCCACAGGATCAAGATGGGTTTTTATCTACTCTCTCTCCTGGAGTCAAATTCTTTAAACTGTTCTGCAAATCAAAAGGGATTCTCTCTCCACTTTGTGCAAAAGGGTTGCTGAAGAAAAGGCTCACGTCCAGGGGGGCCTCAGCCTCAGAGTCCCAGGAATCTGTGTCTGTGCTGCTGGAGTCCTCAGCTGTTGTAGGGGGACAGCTGAGCTGCTCTAACTGGTCGATGATGTCAGAGAACTGGAAGGCTGAGCTGGACTCAGAGCGGACTGAGTAGGCCGGGAAATTGATCATAGAGCTGGCCTCAGACTGATTGGCTGAGCTGGATGTGTGCAAGGACAGCCCACCATGCAAAAGTACATTATTGAGGGAGCTGTTTTCAGACTGGTTGTTCCTAAGTGAACTTGTCTCAGAAGGACTCAGCAGGCTCTGAATCAGGCTAGCCTGTGCTTTCACCTCGAAGAGCTCTGAGGTGTCTGAGGGGTGCACATTGCCATTGAAGTCACTTTCTCCCTCAAATTCAAAACCCTCCTCTACGTTCATGTCTACTGCCTCTGTGGAGCACCCACCTGGGCTAGACTGGACAGACTCTGGGTGCTGGAAGGCTCCTGGACCACACAGAGCAGGGGACACTGTGGGCTGGGCAGGCACCTGAGGGTCACATGGGACTAAAGAGCTATATGGGAATGAAAATGCCTCAGAGCCTCCTGCAAAGAAGGAGATGTCTGCTGGGTCATCATCTATGAACTCCTCAGACACCTGCAGGTGGGCATTTGTCAATGTGAAAATAGGGGCTCCTCCACGCCACTGTCGGCCACATTGGTACTCCCCACAGGAAGGGAAAGAGACTGTGGTAAAGTCATCCTCACCACTGTCATTTGTACAAGTAGCTCTGAGCTCCCTGCCAGCCCTGTCTGTGTCTAGATCTAAGGCACTGAGACTCTGCCCCACAGGACAGATGTAACTGCGATTGCTCACAACATGACAAAACCCGACACCTGAACCAGGCTGCAGCGTGGGGGGTCTGGGGGCCGGGGCGGAGTGCACATCGGGGCCTCTGGCCAGGGCTCCACTGCTCATCCCTGCAGTCGGACTCCTGGTGTGGGGGCCCCGGAGGTCTGTGCAGGAGTTGCTGGTGTCCTCGACACTGGGCAGGCTGGCAGGAGTCAAGGGGGAGGCAGGGAGTGAGTAAAAGGAGGCATTTGCTGAAGATGGGGAGGCAGAAGTCCTCAATCCTTCCATAAACGAGATGTTCTGGGGATGAAAGTTAAGAAAAGAAAAAAAAGGAACATAAAATTACAAATTACCATTAGAGGCTGCAATGCTGACTGGGCTTGACTCAGGGCATCTGCACATTTCTCCCACTGCTTTCACAAAGAAGGGAAGCTGGGCCTGGCACGGTGGCTCATGTCTATAATCCCAGCACTGTGGGAAGCTGAGGTGGGAGGCTCATCTGAGGCCTAGGAGTTGGAGACGATCCTGGGCAATAGCAAGATCCTATCTCCATAAAAATTAAAAAATACTAGTTGGTTGTAGTGGTGCATGCCTGCAGGTTCAGCTACGTGGGAAGCTGAGGGAGGAGGACTGCATGAACCCAGAAGTTGGAGCCTGCTGCAGTGGGGGGCTATGTAGCCTGGGCCATAGAAGAGAGACCCCGTCTCAAAAAAAAAAAAAAAGGCAATGGATCGGACTTTTCCTTTTAGAATTAAAGATCTATAAATGTAGACAGCAATGCAAGCCAACCCAGGATCTCCTGTTTATAAGCCCTTACAATTCCATTTTTCCTCTTTTGGCATAAATATGCATAGTGAGGAAAATCTCCACAAGGCAGAACTGAATGACACTTGGTCTGTGTCCTTGTGGCAGTCCCTGTCACCCTGAAGATGTGAGGGAATGTTTCTGGGCACCCATCATTTTGCTGAGGGGTAAAATACACTTGGAGAGGGAGTGAGCTGTTCTCAGCTTGTAGCACCTGAAACCATGGTGCTGACATCGAGTAACAAGCCGTGTTCCACAGTGACAGCACTGTCTGTCAGAAAGTTACAGTCCCCAGGCAGTGGGACACATGTCAGCTCATTCCCTCATGCAGCAGAAGGCTGAAGGTCACTGCCTAGGATATTCCTATTGTCAGTGGAGCACTAGGCCTACTGGAAGCTCCAGAGGGGCCCTGGGTATGAGTGACAGAGACCTGGGAGCAGGACGAGGGAGCACTGGAGGGGTTGTGGCTAGACACATCAAGTGGCCACATAGCATCGAGTGCTACTCCACGGGCACCCTAACAACATTCTCACTCATGGTTGTGCATGCAAGGACACAGATGAGGCCTCTCTACTCCCTAAGGGTCACCCGTTGTGTGTGTTATCACTAAGTACCATCATACCTTTAGAAAACCCCTTATTATATAGATACATGTAACACTATTAACAGGGTGATCAGACCAAAAATCACCAAAGAGAACTGAGTAATTTCTTTTTTAAAAGTAGACAAGGTCTTGTTGTGCTACCCAGCCTGGTGTGTAGTGGTGCAACCCTAGCCCACTGCAGCCTTCAGCCCCTGGGCTATCAGGAGTTCTGCCTCAGCCTCCCAAGTAGCTGGGATTATAGGTACACCACCACACACCTAGCTAGTTTTTCTTAAAGACCAGGCTGGTCTTGAATTGCTGGCCTCAAGCATCCTCCTGCCTCGGCCTCCTGAGTTGCTGGGCTTTACAGGCATGAGCCACCTGGCAGAACTGAATAATTTTCCGTGCAGTATGTATGCAGGCAAAACACACAGGCAGATATCACTATTCATAACATAAGCAACACAATGGCAGGAGGCCTAGCAGCTGACCTTTAGAAACAAAATAGTAAGTCATAGTCCACAAAAATAGATTAATCTATTTTCAAATGTTTATCATACACTTTTTCTTAATCACGTAACCACATTCAACATTTTCTTGTGGCTTTGAAAATATAATAGAAGAGAATTAAAAGCTTAAAGGTAATTTTGAGATGACTTATATTTGGACATTAAATTTGATCTTTGTAAAGAAATAATTGAAGACATGAAGGCTTTGTTAACCAGTTTGATGAAAATATTTCAAATTGTATATAAAAACAACACACTGTACCCCATGATAGTATTAATGTACACAGCTATGATTAGTA